CACGGACAGAGTGGACAGTCAGAAGTTTTTTCCCAGGGTGGAAGAGTCAGTTACCAGGGGCCATAGGTTTAAGGTGCAAGGGGCAAGGTTTACAGGTGATGTATGATGTAATACTTTTATACAGAGGGTGGTGGGTACCTGGAACTCACTGGCGGGGGAGATAGTGGAAGCAGGAACGATAGTGACTTTTAAAGGGCATCTTGACAAATACATAAATAGGATGGGAAGAGAGGGATACGGTCCCTGGAAGGGTAGGGGGTTTCAGTTGTGATGGGCAGCATGTCGGTGCAGGTTTGGAGGGCCGAAGGGCCTATTCCTGTGCTGTAATTGTCTTTGTTTTTTGAGCAAGGTTTTTGAATAAGGCCCCACATAGCAGACTGGTAGCAAAGTTGAGTGCCCATGGCATCCAAAGAAATTTGGCAGATTGGATTCACAATTGGCTGAGTGGCAAGAAGAGGAGAGTGATGGCAGGCTGGTGTTTTCCTGACTGGAGGTCTGTGTCCAGTGGGGCCCCACGGGGGTCAGTGTTCGGGTCCTGGCTGTTTGTGTGGTTTATATAAATGATTTAGACTGGAGTGTAGGAGTCAATACAAAAATTGTTGGGGCGATAAATAGTGATTGTAAACAAGCTGATCAGATGGGTTGATCAGTGGCCAAGTGGAATTAAATCTGGGAGCATGTGAGGTGATGCACATGGGCTATATAAACAAGGCAAGGAATACAAGGTGAGTGGTAGGACCCTAGGAAACACTGAGGATCAGAGAGGCCTTGGTGTGTACGTCTACTGGTCCCTTAAGATATCAAGACAGCCGAATAAAGTGTTCAAGAAGGCATACGGTATACTTGCCTTTATCAGTCAAGACACGCTTTTACAGAAGGAAGGTGCTGCTGGAACTGTATAAAATGTTGGTTTGACCACAGCTAGGATTTTCTGTGCTGTTCCAGAATCCACATTATAGGTGGGATGTGATAGCATTGGACAGGGTGTGGAGGAGATTTACCAGGATGTTGACTGGGCTGGAGAGTTTCAGTTATGAAGAGAGATCAGAGAGACTGTAGTTGTTTTCCTTAGAGCAGAGGAGAGAGGTTCATGATTGAGATGTATAAAATTATGAGGGGCACAGATTGGGTAGACAGGAAGTAAACTTTTCCCTCAAATGAAGGATCAATGACTAGGCGGCATTGACTTAGAGGAGATGTAAGGAAAACTTTTGTTTTTAAAACCCAGAGAGTGGTGGGAATCAGCCTTGAATGCATTTAACGACCCAGCATCTACAGCCCTCTGCCATAAAGAATTCCGCAGATTTACGCACTCTGAAGAAATGCTCGCAGTCTTAAATGGGTGACCCCTTACTCTGAGATGATGCCCTCTGGTCCTAGATTTTCCCCATAAGCAGAAACAACATCTACACATCTATCCAGTCAAGCCCCCTAAGAATCTTGTGTGTTTCGATAAGGTCACCTCCCATTCTTCTCAACTCCTAAGAGTACGAGTCCAACCTCTTCTCAGTACAGTCCTTCCATATCTGGGATCAACTTAATGAACTTTCTCTACACTGCTCCCAATGCCAGTATACCTTTTCTCAGATATTCTAAGAGAAAATCAACGGATAAGGTTCAAGGTTACAAAAATAATAAAAAACACAACTAAAATCTCCTGTTATCTTAATCCCTGTGGCACTGAGAACTACAATACGAATGGACTTTGCAAATAAAAGGAAGTACAATCTGATCGCCATTACACAGACATGTCTGCAGAATGACAGGAACAAAAACAAAGTTGCTAGAAAAGCTCAACAGGTCTGGCAGCATCTGTGAAGGAAAAAAACAGAGTTAACGTTTTAGGTCTGGTGAAGCTTCCTCAGAACTGATGGTGACTGGGAAAACGTCAGTTTATATGCAGAGGGAGGTGGGTGGGGTAGGGAGTAAACAATAGGCTAGAGCCCAAAGAGAGAGAAAGGCAGTTGGACAGACAAAGTTGCTGCTAACCATCAGGCTGGGAGGATGAATAGTTAATGGGGACTGTTAGTGACTAACAACAGGGGGTGTGTAATGGCAGGCTATGTGGTAACAAGGCCTGGTGTGTGGGGTAAGGGGCTGGGACATGGGAGAGTTTAGGCCCTAAAATTATTAAACTCAAAACTGAGTCCAGAGGGCTGTACGGTCCCCATATGGAAAATGAGGTGTTGTTCCTCCAGCTTGCGTTGGGCTTCGCTGGAACACTGCAGCAAGCCAGAGGCAGAGATGTTGGCCAGGGAGCAAGGTGGTGTGTTAAAGTGGCAGGCAAGTGAAGTGCAGAATGACAGATTAGTAACTGAATATTGTGGAGTACATTGCATTTAGAAATGACGGGAAGCTAGGAAAAGTTAGAGGGACGGTTCTGTTAATTGATGACGATGTTAACGCGACAGAAAGATGACTCAAGTTTAGGGCATCAGGATATAGAAATTATTAAAGGCAAGTAGTCACTTGTGGGAGCGGCGTACAGACCCCCTAACAGTAAACAGACAGGAGAGTGGAATATAAAGAAAGAAATGGTGATATATTAAGAAGTGTGAAAATATAAAGACATCTGGATGTCCTTGTATACCAGTCAATTAAAGTAAATAGGCAAATGCATAATTAGAAATGCAAATGGTATACTGGCCTTTATTGCAAGAGGATTTGAGTTCACAAGTAGGGCTGTCTCACTGCAGTTACACAGAGCCTTGGTGAGACTGCACCCAGAATTGTGTGCAGTTTTGGACTCCTTCCTTAAGGAGGATATCCTTACCATACAGGGAGTGCAGTGAAGGTTCACTCAACTGATACTAGGGATGGCAGAATTGTTGTATAAGGAGAGAGTAGTTCAACTGGGTATTCAGTAGACTTTAGGAGGACAGAAGATCTGAGTGAAACACCCGACATTCTAAAGGGCTAAATCTCCTGGTTGGGGAGTCTAGAACAAGGGCTGACAGTGTCAGGATACAGCATAGACCATTCAGGACTGAAATAAGGAAATATTTCTTCACTTAAAGGGTGGTCAACCTGTCGAATTCACTGACTATGTTCAAGAAAGAGATCATTAACTCTTTAGATAATAAAGTATCAAGGACTATGGAGAGAAAGTGAAGTAGAAAATCAGACACGATCATACTAAATGGAACAGCAGGCTCAAATAGCCAAGTAGTCTATTCCTGCTTCTACCTTCTATGTAAATAATGGTAGCCTGTCAGAAAGATTGGACAATAACCATAAGGATTTTAACTTGCATTTGGGCTGGAAAAATCAGATATGCAAAGATAACCTAGAATGGAATTCATAGAGTGCTTTCAGGATAATTTATTCCAACAGTATGTCCTACAGTGCGCAAAGAACAGGTGATGCTAGATCTGATATTGTGCAAGAAAATCTTATAATGACCTAGTGAAAGCACCCTAGGTAGCAACAATCATAACATTATTAAATTTTCCATTCAGTTTGAGGGAGAGGGGAGTGGAACAGCTGAATGGTCTCTTGTACTGTAGCTAGCTCTATCAAGTCTCTCCATTCCTTGTCCAAGAAGAATATTCCCAACTTCTGAAATGTTTCTATACAACTGAAGTTTCGCACCGATAAAACCATGCTGATGAATTCCTTCTACACTCTAATGTCTTTACATCCTTCCTAAAGTGCAGTGCAAGAATTGGATGTTATGGTCTAGCAGAAGCAGAATCACTGTTTCACAGGGGTTTAACATAATCTCCTTGCTCTTGTCCTCTATGCCTCTGTTGATAAATCACCCACGATTCATTAGCTGAAAGTACAAGAACCAGATGACACAGTTAAGGTATTAACCAACAGAGGTAAGAAGGTTCAAAGGAAGAACTTCTTTTAAGCAGCAAGTGGCTATGACCTAAAACTTGCTGCCCATGAGGACAATGAAACAAGAGACAACCAATAATATTAAAAAGAAATTGGATCATCACCAGACGGAAATAAACTTACAGGAGTATGAGGTTGAAGTGAAGAAATCAAACCGACTGGGTTGAATTTGTGAAGAACTGGCACAGTTTTAATGGTGTGAATAGTCTCCATTGGTGCAGCTATGATGCTTTTAAGTAGCTAAATTGTTGGCCCAAATCTTACTAAAAGTCAGCTTTAATCTTATTAAATGGTGGAGCCATCTAAAGGGCCTATGGCCAATGTCTGCTCTTATTTCCGGTCAAGAATTGCATGGGCGCATCATATTTGATGTTGGCAATGATGGTGCATGAGATTGGGAAGAGAACTTTAAGGAGGAAGCTTGTGGGCAAAGAAGTTAAACATGGAAAACAGAATCCAGAGTTTTCTTTACACTCTAGGATGGTTACAGAGTATGAGCGTTTTAGCAGAAAAGCTATGAAGATGACTCATCTCGTAATTGAAACATTAACACTTGAAGGTCATGAAGACAGGTCCCTTACTACAGGAGACAAGGACAGCACAGAACAAGAAATTTATTAGCAACAATGGCACAGCTGATGATGATGTTATGACTGGAAACATCAGTAACTATGGCAAACGGTAAGTGGGTGAAAAGCTAGACTAGATAACCCCAAGAGACTAGGCTCCGTTTTGTTTAAAAAAGTTTCAGAACTTCTCATTTATACTCAATTGAAGGCCACAAGTTTCCGATGCTGTGTTTACTACTGACCCCTAGCTGTCCTAAGGTGAAAGTGATGGGCCACAACCTCTTAATCCACTAAGTAACGACTGGTTTACATTGAAGCTAGGCATCCTCTGAGATCATTAAAGATCAAGATAAAACGCTTAAGTGAGTTTACAAGTATGCTGGACTGGGGAGTAGTATTCATGACTTCATAAAATAAATCATCTGTGATTTTCTAAGTCATTTATTTGCAGTACCAGCCCACAAACATGTAGAGTTACATTACTTAATATTGGAATAGAAAACATTTGAGACCAGTACTACATTATCTTATAAAAGAACTTAATCATCTTACCACTGAAAAGATGCACACACATGCTTTAAAACTCACATGGTTGAACAAAGTGGAAAGCTTGGCCCCATCCTGTATGTTCTTTTCCAAAATACTTAGCACCTTCACCATCTTGTCTGTTGGAAGCTGTAAATAGGGAAAAAAGTGCAAAATGCCTAAGGGCAATATTTTGGAAGAAATATAACTCCAATAGCAGCTATAAATAATGAAAAGAGAAGATAAATGATCAGACTATACTACCTGGTGTACACATGGTGACCCAGAACCAAACTTTCCTTCATACAGCAATTTCTGAGAACAGTGGTGTTTAAAAAAAACTGGTACCCAGTGATGTAAATTTTCTTCCCCTACTCACACTCTCTGTGCATCACATTAGAAATGACAGCATAAAGTTCCAGGTATATTCAAAATCCCCATGGTTGGGCTAGGTAAGCGCTAGGGCGTTAGCCATCAGACTAATGCCAGACTCAAAGTTGGCCACTAGGTGTGTCTGTCTGTTATGGACAGCTCGAAGCTTCCATAGAATTGGCATCAATTATCCTTCACCTAGCAATAACTTTCCATGAAGAATCAATGTGTGCTTTAAGTAAAATTAGAACTTTTCTTGGTTGAACATGAATTGGAAACATTCCTGAGGCATCACGATTTTACTACAGTGCAGCATTTGTGCAGTACTGGACAGTGGTCCAAATGAAGGAGACATCTTTAGAATATAATCACTTCCAGGCACTTGGCAGCCCTTGTACATCAATATCAAATAACAAGTATATCCTTCAGTTGGACTGTCAACCCACTGTCTGATATACAGAGGTGGAATTTGTTGGGAATACATATTTATACTTAAAGGCAATGTGAAAATTGAGAGATACAGAATGGTTTTAAAGTTTTCTGGATTAAATGGAGCTTTATCAAGGAGTGAGGGGAACAGTTGGATGTGCGCCACCTGCTGTTTACAGAAAAATCAAGTGACTTTGGAGAAAACAGCCAACAGTTTTCAAGGAGATAGAGGTTTTACTGCCTGAATTATTAGAAAATATGGTGCTGAAAACATGGACGCCGATATGCTAATGGTTGCCTAGCAACCCTTACTAAACAGAATTTCGTTTCACAGAAGCAAGTAAATAAGCTTCAAACCTCTCGCCTAAAATCCTATTCTCAGTAAAAATTCTGGGAATGTGACAAGAGCTTCTAAATGTTGGATTTTTTGTAAATTCACAAACAGGATGTAGGCATCACTTGCTGGGTCAGCAATTATTGCCCATGCCTAGTTGCCTTTGAAAAGATGATGGGGAGTTGCTTTCTTGAACCGCTGCAGTCCATTTGCTGTAGATAGGCCCATAATATCCAAGTCAGGCTGCTGAGTGGCTTGGAGGGGAACTTGCAAGTGGTGCTGTTCGCATGCATTATTTGCCCTTGTCCTTCTAGATCGACAGGGTCATGGGTTTAGTAAGTGTGGTCTAAGCATCTTTTGTAAATTTCTACAGTGCATCTCATAGGTAGTACATACTGCTTTTACTGACTGTGGTGGTGGGGAGAGTGGATATCTGTGATGTGGTCAACCAGGCTGTTTTATGCTGGATGGTGGCAAGATTCCCAAGAGTTGTTGGAGCTGCACCCATACAGGCAAGTGGGGAGTATTCCATTGCATTCCTGGCTTGTGCCTTGTAAAGAACAGACTGGCTTTGGGAACCTATACTGCGAGTTACTCGCTGCAGTATGCAGAGCCTCTGACTGGTTTTTGTGACCAATCTACCTATATGGTGAGTCCAAACTATATGGAGTTTCTGGTCAATAGTAACCTACAGGATGTTGATAGTGGGGATTCAGTGATGGTGAAGCCACCAAATGTCGAGGGCCAGTGTTCAACTGTCTCTTATTGGAGGTGGCCATTGCCTTCCATTGTGTGTTATGAATGAATTCGGATGTTACTTATTCCTGATTGCTTTGTAAATACTGAAAGGACTATGACCATTTTTCAACGACTTGAATCCAGGTTGATCTAAATCAGCACTGGACATCTACCATCAGTCTACCATCGTCGGCGATTCAGTTGCATCCAGAGGAAATCCAGCGGTTATGAAAAGCCATTCGTTGACCCTGTATCAACTCTTGGCCAACCTGGATGGGTGGGGGAGTATATTTTCTCCTCTTGCCTTAAAATACAGCTTTGCAAAAATTTGACTTTTGCGTTGCGTGTGTGTTTAAGATTAAGGGGACTAGCTTTAATTCTATATGTTAGCTTAGATGTTAAACAACGTTGGCCTCTTGCTTTAAGGGCAAGTTGTGTTTGTATTTAACAGACTATTTTAAATTTATCAAAGAAAATCTAATTCTAGATAGCAGGACAAAAGACACAATTGGCCATTTTGGAAATTTAATCAACGCATTTACACACTGCAACTGGTGGAGTAGTGGGGATTGATCATCAGTGCATTTCTTCCGTCAGTCATCTCAAAACTTTCCTTCCAAGACTTTAAGAATATTGTACATACCCGGTCCATGATGCCCATAGCTTTGATCTTGGCAGATTCGCTGCTCAATTCGTTGAGCTGTTGTTTGCCTAACAACAACTCCTGAGGTAACTCATCATCTTCACCTATGGAAAGAATGGCAATCATGCTGACATAAAGCAACTGTCAATTATACTTGCAATATCCTAAACCAATTTCCGTAAGTGTCTTGGCCAGCACACACTTCACCTGATTCTTATCCAGCTTCTAACTGTGACCCTTGCTACAGCAAGGTGGTGATTGCAAATTAGTTCATAAATGTCTAGAATAGGACTTCATTAACTTACTTCCTCACTACTTGTTTTCCTTTTTATGATCGATTTCATCTAGCTTCTACCCCACCTCAATATATTCCACATATCTGCTTTCCCCCACCTATTTAATTAAGTTAATATTCTCCAATTTCCAGCTTAGGCTCTACCCAACTAAGTTAGCCAGATCAATTGGTATCAATGCACCAGAGGTCTCAACCGATGTCAAAACTAACAGTTCCCTTCCCATTCATCCTCTCAATAAAATTAACGTAGGTAAAACATCAATAACGAGGAAATTAATGGAATTAAAAAGAGCGACAATACCCTGGGACCTGGCCGTCTCCATCCGAAGGAGTTAAAGAAATTAAGGTAGTCATTATAGATGCCCTAATTACAATCTTTTGGAGTTCCCGAGATATAGGAATTATCTCCTCTGGACCAGGAAATTGCACATCACATCACTCCACTTTAAGGGCAGAAGAGAAAAACCAGGGAATTACAGACCAGTTAGCCCAACATCTGTGGTGGGGAAATTGTTGCTGTCTATAATCAAGGGTAGAGTAACTAAACATCTCAAAAATTTTCAGTTAATCAGGGAAAGACAGCAGGAATTCATGACGGCTAAGTCATGCCTGACAAGCCTCACTGAATTTTTTGAACAGGTGACTAAGGTTGTGGACAGGGGAATGCCCGTGGTTGTTGTTTATATGGACTTCCAGAAGGCATTAGATGAAGTCCCACTTAAGAGACTATTGACTGAAGTAGTAGGCTATGGATTTGAGGGCAAATTACTGACATGGCTGGGAAATTGGTTGAGTGGTAGGTGCCAGAAAGTAGGAAAAATGGGCAGGTACTCAAATTGCCAGAATGTAATAAGTGGTCAGATCTGTGCTAGAGCCTCAATTATTCACCTTATTTATTGACAACTTAGATGATGGCAATAGAAAGGCATAGATCCAAATTTGTTGATGACAAAAGTTAGGTGGCATTACAGAAAGTGTAGATATTGCATAAAATTACAAAAGGGATATTGATTGACTAGGTAAATGGAAAAAACTGCATCAGCTGGAATTCAATGTAACCAAGTGAGAAGTTATCCATTTTGGACCAAAATAAAGGATAGAATACGGTATTTTCTAGATGGTATGAAGTTAAACACAGTCGATGTCCAAAGAAACTTGGAGGTTCTGGTGCACTGATCGTTAAAATGCCATAAACAGGTGCAGAAACTAATCAAGGTGGCTAATGAAATGCTGGCCTTTAGATCGAGAGGAACGGAGCATAAGGCCATAGAAGTCACACAGCAGCTGTACAATTTGGAAGTACTGAGAGTTGATTTGGGCTCCACATCTTAAGAAGGACGTATCAGCTTTGGAGGGAATACAGCATAGGTTTACGAGAAAGATACCTAGGCATCAGAGGAAATGTTATATGAGGTTGTTGACTTACTTGCCAAGCTCGCTTGTTTTTGTTCAGACATTTCGTCACCATGCTAGGAGACATCATCAATGGAGTCTCCGATGATGTGATGTTATTCTAATCTGCTTAGAATTTATACTGTCTGGTCCATTATGGTGAGTACTGTCATTTCCAGTTTTGATCTGTATGGGTTTATATATGGGGTCCAATTCTATATATCTGTTGATTGAAGTATGGGTGGAGAACCATGTCTCCAGGAATTCCTGTGTGTGTCTATATTTGACTTGGGCTACTATGGTTATTTTGTCCCAGTTAAACTGATGGCCTTCATTGTCTGAATGTACTGATATTAACGAGAGTTCATCATGCCGTTTTGCTGATAGCTGATTTTCGTGTATTCTGATGGCTAGTTTCCTTCCTGTCTGTCCAATGTAATGTTTGTGGAAGTTGTTGCATGGTATTTTGTAAACCATGTTGGTTTTGCACGTTGTGGGAATGGGGTCTTTAATCCTTGTGAGCGTGTGGTCGTAGAGTGGCTGTGGGTTTGTGGGCCACCATGATTCCTGGCGGTCTTAGGAGTCTTGTTGTCAGTTCCAATATGTTCTTAATGTAGGGCAGTGCGGTCAGTGTGTTAGGTCGTACTGTGTCCCTCCTGTTGTTGTCTGTTTTGTAAGCATCGGTGGATGAAGCTGTAGGGATATCAGTTTAAAGCAAGGATTTTGTACAAGTGTTCTTCCTCTTCCCGGTGTAGTTCTGGGGTGTTGCAGTGCATCTTGGCCCGTTTAAATAGTGTCCTAATGCAGCTTTGTCTGTGGGCGTTGGGGTGGTTGTTGTGGGAGTTGAGGATTTGATCTGTATGGGTTGCTTTTCTGTACACTGAGGTTTGGAACTCCCCAGTTGTCAATCGCTCTACTTTAACATCCAGAAGCGAAAGTTCTTGTGAATTTAATCCCTGTGAATACGCTGATGATGAGGTGGTTGGTCTCTTCTAATTTGTTGCATTTAATGACAAATGTGTTGTTATGTACTGGATCCACAGTGTAGGTTGCATGTGGGGGGAAGGCGGTGTGTTGTTGTCTTTGCATGACTGCTTCTGCGATGAGTCCTGAGATGGGTGACCCCTGAGATGGTGTACCGCTGATCTGTTTGTATATCTGACCATTAAAAGATAAAGTGTGTGGTGAGGCAGAGGTCTAGTAATTTAAGTAGGTTGTCATTGCTCGTGGAACTGCTGGTCTGCATTGCTGTTTCCTCTAGTAATGTGGCCACTGTTTCTTTCGCTAGTGGGATGTCAACTGATGTGAATAAAGCTGTGACATCAAAGGATACATAATCTCGTCATCACTGATTTTTATGTTCTTGAGGTTATCAAGGAAATCTTGGATTGAGTGGATAGAATGAGGTGACCCGTCTATTAGGTGTTTCAGTCTCTGTTGTAGGTCCTTGGCCAGTTTGTGTGAAGGTGTGCCTGGTAGGGAAACAATGGGTCTGAGAGGGATGTCTGGTTTACGTACTTTAGGCAGTCCATAGAAGTGGAGGGTGTTTGTGCCTTCTGGTTTCATTCTCATGAAGTCTGTCTTGGTTATCTGCCCTGCATTCATTAGTTGCTTCAGTGTCAGGGTGATCCTATTACCTAGCTGCGATGTTAGGTCTATTGCCACTTGTTGGTAAGTGGTTGTATCTGCAAGCAATGTCTGTGCTTTCTTAACATAGTCTGGTTTGTTCATAAAGACAGTCATGCACCTTTTTATCTGCTGGTAAAATTATGATGTTCTTGGCTTTGAAAGTTGTCTTGGGGAAGTCGGAGTGTTGCAGTATGTCCTGTGTAGCATGGTGACAAAATGTCTGAACAAAAACAAGCCAGCTCAGCGAGCAGATCAACAACCTCAACCACAACCCAAGCTACAGATCTTTGTCAAAACTTTGAAAAGAAATTATACAAATTCGACTTGTTTTCTCTAGAATTTCACAGGTTAAGGCCTGATTTGATCGAAGTCTTCAAGGAAAGGGCTATCGTCAGCAAACACTCACGAACACGTAGGAGTGTCCACCCTGGAAATTGTGTCACTGGTCACTGGTTCTGAGGGCCCTTGCATGGCTGACACGCCAGATCCTAGAACTGCATCTCTGACCACGTTTGGCAAGTGTTTCTGGGAGATGGATCCTTTTCCTTAAGATTGTTGGCAAACCTTTCTCTGGTTCAATTTTCCATACTTCCTCTTGCCAACACGCATTCTTGAAGAATTGTGCCCCTTCAAGTCATATTGTTCTGAACAAGAGTCTGCCAGGCATTAACATCAATACTGCATTTCTTGAGGGAAGCCTTCAGTGAGTCTTTTAAATACTTTCCTTGCCCTCCTCTCATTTGGGCACCTTCCTGGAGCTCAGTGAAGATCATCTGCTTTGACAGATGAAACTCAAACATCTTAAGCACATGACCAGCACAGGTGGAGCTAGTTTCAGATGATCATTGCCTTGATCCTGGCACTGATAGCTCTTTCAGGGAGGCTGATGTCCTCCAAGCTGATATGAGGAATCTGTCTCAAACAGGATTGATGGTAAGCCTCAAGTGTCTTGAGGCGGTATCTATATATAGTCCACGTTTTGGAGCCATATAGAGCTATTACCATTGGTGAGGTTTTAAACTAATATGGTAGGGGGATGGGGACCAAAGTATAGGCTTAGATGGATCACATCCAGGCCAGGAGAAGGAAGGTAGAACATGAGCGATGTAGTCAGCAACTCGGAAAGACAAAAGAAACGAAGAGTAAAAAGCATCCAGCAAAGGAAGTTGATAGGGTTGAGCTGTTTATAGTTCAATGAAAGAGTATTACAAACAAGGCAGGTGAACTAAGGGCACAAAAAAAAGACACACAGCAACATGGTGCTCTTGCTGTAATGGAAACCTGGTTAAAGAAGGGGCAAAATCAGCAGCTCAATATCCCTGGATATAACGTTTTCAGGCAGGGTAAAGTAGATGTCAAAAAAAAAAGGAATCAATTACAGTTGTGAGAAGGACGATATATTGAACAGGTTAACAAATGAGCCCTTACGAGTTGAGCTTAGGAAGAATTTTTTTTTTTCCTTTATTCATTCACAGCATGAGGGTGGCGCTAGCCAGGCAGCATTTATTGCCTGTCCCTAACTGCCCAGAGGACAATTAAGAGTCAACCACATTGCTGGGGGTCTAGAGTCACAAGTAGGCCAAACCAGGTAATAAAGGCAGTTTCCTTCCCTAAAGGTCATTATAGTGAACTAGGTGGGTTTTTCCAACAATCGACAATGGAATCACGGTCATCATTAGATTCTTAATTCCAGATATTTATTGAATTCAAATTCCACCATCTGCTGTGGTGGGATTCGTACCTGGATCCCCAGAATGTTATCTGGGTCTCTGGATTAACAGTCCAGCG